CGAGGGCTCAGCCACCCCGGCAGCAGGGGCGGGGCTAGGGGACCCTCCAGCAGGGCTGCTAGGGCTGCCCCCGGAGTCAGGTGGTGTGATGGCCACACAGTGGCAGGTGGTGGGCATGACGGTGGAGCATGTGGAATGCCAAGATTCCGGCGTCCGGGAGGCTCCTGGTCCCCTGGAAGGGGCAGGCGAGGTGGGGGGTGAGGAGGCTGATGAGAAGCCTCCCCAGTTTGTGTGCCGAGAGTGCAAGGAGACCTTCTCCACAATGACACTGCTGCGTCGGCACGAGCGCTCACACCCGGAGCTCCGGCCCTTCCCCTGCACCCAGTGTGGCAAGAGCTTCTCTGACCGGGCTGGGCTGCGGAAACACAGCCGCACTCACAGCTCAGTGCGCCCCTACACCTGTCCCCATTGTCCCAAGGCCTTCTTGAGTGCCAGCGACCTGCGCAAGCATGAACGTACCCACCCTGTGCCCATGGGGACCCCCACACCCCTGGAGCCCCTGGCGGCTTTGCTAGGAATACCTGAAGAGGGGCCGGCCTGAAACCCATGACCCCCAGCACCACACTCCGGGAGCCCAGCCCCCACTGGGGGCTTCCTGTACCTCCTTTTGCCTGGCTCTGCTCTTTAGACTCCAGATCCCTACCCCTCAGCAACTAGCTAACCTGTCGCCCAGCTAAGAGAGCTGGGACAATGGAGGCTGGCAGCGGCTGAGACATGACTGTCTAGGAGTAACACTCATTAAAGCTTTCATTTTGGCACCAGGTCGTCTTCTGTGTTCTGGTTAGGAGTGAATGGGTGGGAGTTTGGGCATCAGATAAGGTTCAGCGGAGACCCCTGGATCCACAGATTTGAAACTAGAAGGGTCTTTGGACACAGTTTCCCAAAGTATGTTTCAGGATGTCTAGTGACAACAGGTTCCATGGGCAGTAAGAAAGGAAATTCCCTGTGCCCTTCTTGGGATTCTTAGTGATCAAAAGTGGGCTGAAGTGGCCCTGGAGGAGCAGTGCCTCTGGCAGCCGGGAGCTGGCATCTCCAGGCCCACTGACCCCTTGTGAGGGCCTGGGACTTAGGAATCTGCCCACAAAAGGGGTATTGTTCATTAAAATCTACCCATTTCCTTACAGAAAATATGTCTTCAGGCCGGGCATGGTAGCTCACACCTGTAATCCCAGCACTTTGGGAGGCCCAGGTGGGTGGATCACGAGGTCAGGAGATGGAGACCATCCTGGCTAACACGGTGAAACCCCATCTCTACTAAAACTACAAATAAACTAGTCGGGCATGATGGCGGGCGCCTATGGTCCCAGCTACTCAGGAGGCTGAGGCAGGAAAATGGCATGAACCCGGGAGGCGGAGCTTGCAGTGAGCCAAGATCGCACCACTGCACTCCAGCCTGGGTGACAGAGCGAGACTCCATCTCAAAAAAAAAAA